TTGCTCCCACAAGTACCCCAGGTTTCAAGAGAAAGACATCTTTCCCTCTCTCAAAGAGGTTAAAAGCGTTAAAGTGGGCAGTTCAGCAAATGCATATTCAAACCCCTCATTTTTGTGAAGTTTTGCCCAGAGCAAGCATGCAAACTCACTGGGGCTGGCATGGAGCTGCTAATCCTGCCCCCACTTCCAAGGGAATTTCCTAGCCAGTGGTTGTCCCTGTGTCTCATTCCACTCCTTGACTCTCAATGTGTCCTCTACTGGCCCTTGCTCGCTTTCCTGCCTTTTCCCTACTCATCTCCTCAGCCTAGCTCGAAGACAGCATGAGAACAAGCAGGTACACTGACATACATGGGACAGACAAACATATAGAAGTAAATTTGCCTCTCTCTCTCTCTCACAATTCCAGCTGTGCTTGATTTTCTGAAGACGATATAAGTAAATCACCCTCTGAGCTATGCAGGCACTGTGGAAGCTCTCACAGTGCAGCCACCTGAGGGACTACGTATGTGGGCAACCTGAAGAACAAGCAGAGCGCTCTCAAGAGGGCATACCTGATTCCCAGTGGCACATCTATGAAGTCTTCCTTTAAGTCGCACAGGATAAAGTACATAGAAAACAAAGCATAATGCAAAGGGAAAAGAAGATGACAGTCAGCTGACTGACAACAGACTAAGGGATCAGTTCCTGCAGTGGTAGACACAGGTCTGTTCTCAACAGGCCTCTTAGGACTTTGTGCCTCCTAATGTAAGCACCTCCCTTTGTGATTAGGGGACTAGTCTGTTTCCTATTAAAATTAAGCTGTGTCTTTTGCTTTGCCCTTCAAACCTCCAAAGGAGAAAGAACTAACAGTAAATTATGTTTGGCTCAAAAAATTATCCAAAAAGACTGACAGAGAAACATACATACATTGAATGGTCTCTCTCTCCCACTCTTTTTTCATTTTGCCTCAAGAAAAGCATTTTGTAGCTTTGCATACAGGCCAGTGACAGTTTAAAACAATTTTACAGTTTTTAAAAAAATGTATCCTTCTGCCACTTGGCCATACAAAATCTGTCAATACCTCAAAGAAACTCAATGCAGCTGAACTTCCCTTCACAAGCTTGTTTCACTCAAATCCCCTAAAGAACCTCTCATATCCCACTCTGAAGCTGCACAGCACTAAGCCTGCAAACTGTTATACATCAGCATGCTTTTGACTTGAATAGGAAAGGACATCTGGAGGGTTTAGGGGCAATGACACAGCCACTGCCAGCCTTTCTGGGGGGTGGGGGAGTCCACGAGCTCCTATGCTCTTCCCCACTATTTCTTAATAATAATTACTATGTGTAGGCTCTCACTGAGGACAGTCCCACTTTTGAAACAACTGCAGCAGTGTAGGATGACTGCCATTTGTTTTTAAATGCTACTGGAAAGAGCAGCTGAAATGCAACTATTTCTTGAAGATACGTACCATACTTCATTTCCCAAACAGACAAACTAAATTTTTACGATGCACTTGATGTTGTTTTCTCCCAAGAATCTCCCCGCTATCAGCAAGGGCTTTTGAAGCTCTTTCAAAACCACAAGTATGTGGAAATGCAGGATGTCCTCTACTAATCAAGGTAAGCACTTATTTATAACATTGCTGCTTGACTCGGTAATCTCCCCCAAATCCTATGCCTCTTTTCTTTATATGTGAGAGCTGAAACTGGCCTTTATTTTTAATACACCATGAAACCAGGACCTGATCTCTCCCCATTATACATGGGGTCATTTCTGACATACATTCTCTTTTTGATGAATTCAATACATGTTACAGCTCTCAAGAGACCAACTGAAGTTAGAGCACAATCATAGCAATGAAGGCTTACTCTGAGTCCTTAAAAGCTATTCCCCCCCCCCCTTTCTTTGTTTGGACAAGATTTTATTGTTCCCTTCTTTCTTATGAAAGCAGTGGTTAAAAGAAATAAGAAGTATTCAAACTATTGTGTGAGGGTAATTGTTCTTATTTCATAAGCCTGAAAATCCTCTTTTTTTTCATATACTAATACGCTTTCAGATCGTCTGAGCACAAATGTACTGGATTAACTTCTATTATGCACCTCAGGAATCTACAGGCCAGAAGAGGTGACACTAGCTTCCATGAAAAAAAAGTCTCCAGAAAATAATTTATGGCTATTCACCAGGGGAAACTTTGCAAAATCTTCCAAAAATGCAAGCAGGCCAGCAGCTCCTGCTGGGATCAGGAGTATCACTTGCAGCACTGCTTTAACCACCATTTCACCTCCACACTTGTCAATGCATAAATCTTACATTATCGCTGGGAATAACTGAATGACACCTGGGAACAGCACTTAGGAAGGATGAAAAAACACCCCAAAGTCTCCTACATTTCCTTAAACCAGATGAGTTTGAGGGGAGACTTATCCAAAACATGACAGTCAGACTCATTTCAAATATATTCATTTCATGTTGAGAGCATTCTTGAAAATGAGATATGTGATAAAGAAGGCCATGCCCTACAGGTAGTGAACACAGTATCATAATTAATACAGACTGAATACTCCATTAGTGGTGCTGAGAGTCCACTCACAGAGAAAATATCGCTCTCACATCAAAATGTATTTTACCTCTATTTCTAAAAAGGAAGAGATAAAACTCATGAATTTTCAAAAACTAGCCTAGAAATTCTCTGCGGCAATTTGCTAGAGGCACTAGCTGCTACTGTGGACTTCACTGTAGTAGTGTTTAGGATATTAAACGGAATTTAGGAACAGTAATCTCATGGCATGGTTCCATCTCCTTTCCAACATGTCATCTGAAGCATGCTTTGCAGGAGATTATCTCCTAACTATTGGGATCATATTGGAAATCTCATCCAAATACCAATCCCATACTCAAAATCAAATCTACTTTCCTCACTCTTGTAAAAGTCCTGCTTATTTAAATCATTGTCATTGCCTAGCACAAATGTATTTTTAAAAAATCACAATAATTCTGTTCTCAGTAATATATGTTAAACATACAGTCAAAATCTAAGAATATCATAACCTCATGTCAGCTTCAAACTTTTAGAAAACAGGGTCTAAAGTAAAAACATTTATATATTTTATGCATTTTGTTTCAACCTATAGTTCTTGTACTACTTCTGAGATACTCTGCAAAAGCTAGTCAATAAAAGCAAGCCCACAGCAAAGTTTAAATTCACCATACAAATGTGCTTTTTCAATTAAGAAAAAAAAAAAAGATCTGAAAATCCAAACATGTTGGAAAACACTAAATCACACTGTTGCCAGATTTCTGCATTATACTGGCTGGACTGGTTAAAAAAAAAAAAAAAAAAAAAAAAAAAAAAAAAAAGGATTTTCAGGATGCAAGGTGATCAGGGAAGCAACCTGTGCCTCTTGTCTGCATTCATAAGCTATCTGTTAAAAGCGCACCAAGTGTCAAAATAAATATTAAGTTAATAAACTGGTAACTGTCATCGTTGTTAATGGCAAAACTGTTACCCTACCAGACAAAAGAAAAAAAAAGTATGTTTCTCAAAGTAGATCAAAGATGTGTGCATTTGCATTTAAATAATAATATATGGGACATTTCAAGTGCATACCTTCCTGTAAGCCACCCTATTAGACCTGTGATTTGTAACGATGCTGACATGATATGTAACGATGGTCTGTCCAGTTTCCTGAGTAAATAAATGAATGTACTACAGTATGAAGATAGGAGAGAGTCTTATTAATACAGATATTTGTCCTGAATCTTCAAAAGATTAAAGTGACCTTCAAAGCTGTTCAGCTAGAGCCATAGTCATATTCCTGCTGTTCACAAAACCAACCTGAAAGTTTAAGATCCCTGCCAGTTAGATGTACTCCTTCAACTTCTATTTTGATCAGAAATATACTGCACGACTGTGTGCTATTATGTATGAACTTGATCCCCAACTAGATTGATTTAAGTTTAACTCAAAACAGAGAGCCAAACCATGGTCTACTGGGAGAAACAAAAATCAATGGAACTCTATCCAAGAAGAGAGCAATAAATAAGTGAAATACTTATGCACAACTCAGAACTGCCTAATATCTGCAGACTGATACAGACTAACGCCAGTAGATATTTTATCAGAGCCAGCAGTTGATTAACCAATGAATCAATATTTGGTCAAACATTGCAATGACATGCTTGTTCCAAATCCAGTTGTGCCTTTTTGTTGGGTGTAATCAGGCTCACCTTAGTTCATTCCTTTTGTTTCATCATCTTGGAATTTTAAAAATATCCCAAGCAATCACATGGTTTAACTCAGCTACTTCTACAGTGAAATTTTTACTACTCAAAACATACAAACATCTCTTCCTGCAGCTTTGTTTCCTGAGCAGAGCAAGATGGCTAGACTCCACGACACATCAGAACCCAAGCCACCTGAAAGTATGATGAAAAGCATGTGGGGGAAAGGGCTAAACATAGAACAACAGGCCAAGAACATACCTTTTTACCTTTTTCACCTGTTTAGTGGAGGTTGAAAACACTTTGTATATTACCACCTCAGGGTCTAATTGCTCATCTTGAATTAAAATAAATTACAATGTCTTTCAGAAAGCAACGGATATTAAGCAATGCCCTCTGATAATAGTTTCTACCATTTTCTTCTTCTCTCACAGGAAGAATAGAGAGGAGCTAATGAAGAACTAGTGCATCATGTCTTGCATGTTCCCCTTTGACAGGAACAGCTTCCAGGATATGACCTCCCTACAACACAAGAATTGCTGTGAAGGAGGTTGTTGTTTTTTTTTTCTTGATTATTTTACAGGATGGACTCAGTCATGTCAAATTTATGACTTTCCTCTACAGAATGCCTCACCTCACTGAATGCTTAGGGGTCCTTTTACTGTTGGCTGGATTGTTTTTAGCTAGTTTGCCATGCAAGAGGCTGTAGCTTGTGCAGGGGACAAGGGAGAACTCCCCAGCATCCAAGTATCTGCTGCAGCTCACGTAAATGACTCACCTGACTTATACAAACATACCTTTCCAGAAGAAGCTTCAGAAGCACGCTAGACACCACCTGCAAGCCACAGCAAGAGCCGAATTTTTCACTTCAAAAAGCCGATGACTTTTTCGAATGTTTCAGCCCTCCAGATCAGCATGTTAGTTAGTGCAGTGCTCCCCGGTCTTCAAAGCAATCGCATCATCCCTCAGCCACTTAGGCGTGTGGAGACATCTGCACCCCAGAGGGCCAGAGCAGATACCAAAGATGAACACCAAGGACTACTCGCTGCAGATTCCCTCACAGCTGTCCTACTGATGTGTTATTTCAACAAGCTGTTAGGCTTTCATCCTTCAACTACAAGGTCAGGAGGAACCTGGCCCCACACTGCCCTCTGCTCCAACCCTGTCTCGATGCTGGTCTTGTCTGCACAGCAGCTCTGGGGTTGGGGGGGATCAGCTGGCTGCAGGGGGACAGGCACAAGCCTATTAGCATCTCCACAGCTCAGGCCAGTCTGCTTGATTACAAATTCATTCGACTTAATTAATTTTTAATTTCACACAACCTCAGCTGTTATAAATCAGGCCAACCAGGCCAAGGAAACGTCCATAGGAACAGGCAACTGCCTGCCGAAGCGGTGTCTGATCACAGGTTCAGCTTCAACAATCTGTCACCTGAGAGACGAGAAGGAAGCAAATTGCTTTTCACAGAAATTATTAGAAAATATTGCCTTGATTAATTACGCTGTCTCAGAAAGGGAGGAAAAAGGACAGAAAAATCTGCATCAGTTCTGAGCTCTATAATCCAGTGTTTGGTATTGCAGCCTGCTGAATTGTTTAATCATCTAGCAAATCTAATTAAAAGAAAAAACAACAACAGCAAAAAAAAAAACATTTTTTTTTGTGAATGAAGTAATAAGAATATCTTCATTAAATAATGAAGAAAACAACATAAAATATTAACACCCTTATATCTATGCAAACAGTATCTAGGCTTTTCATAGATGTTTCTGTCTTACTGTCTGTCCTTAGATTTCTCTGCCACAGCTACAGGAAAAATAATCTTAATGTAGATATTGCCAGATGATTAAGATTCACTTGATAGACTTCTCCCTGCCTTCTGGTGCTTTGTTAACACGAAACAGTTATTTACTAAATATATCTGTACAGCAATAGCATGTTTTAGTTCCATCAGAATTACATCTCATGCAAGACAAACCACTTTCTCTCATCAGCAAACTTCAGGGAGGGCTGTTGCCTTCTTTTTACTTTTAAAATTAAAAGTCGTTGGAAGTATAAATTCAAACCTTGGTTAGAGCTGGGCTGACCCTGCTGGAATAAAGGGAAGAGTAATTAATTCCAGAATCTCAAAACATGAACCTGAGTGGGTCCAAGTATTAGCCTTTTAATATTCATATATTGGGCACCACTAAATGGTATCATAACAAATGCAGTACAGAATATGATGCATCGTGTGCACATAGCTAATTTTAGACAAACTGTGGCTGAATCCAGAAATTTCCTACAGAACTCCTTTCTTTTCTACTGGACAGGCCTGCTGCATTTCCATCTACATATTAGCGCTGATTTGCTACAAATAAGGTTATTTTGCTTCTGAAGAATAGAACCATATATTCAATATATTTACAATTGTGAACACAAAAACTACTGTACCAAGTAAGACCAAAGCTTCATCAAAACATCTGTCCTTACTGGAGGCCACCTAACTGCTCGTGCCAGAGATGAGTACAGCAACATGACAAATGTTTTGATAACTAATAACTTGTGTGTGTGAAGAAAGAAATAATGAAATATTTTTTTCTTTTTTGGTATTAGAGAAGTACTCTGAGGTACGTTTGTTTCCAGAATGCCCTCCTGGTACAGTGTGGGTGCTTCAGTCTGTTGCCTGATGGTCTTTTTAAGCAACTATCTACAATAAAAATGTTCAGCTTTGTACACTTAAGATGCAGTGGTCTGGAGAATACAGGGCCTGAATCATTTGACACTTAACCTCCAAAATCAAGGTCCAATTAATGCATCTGCAAAACCACAAAAGGTGAGACTCTTGCTAAATTTTTATCTTATTTTGTAGAATACCACTTAGGAATAGCAGTCACTACTTACATACATAATACACTGAGCAACTAAAGCAACGCCTCTTCTATAAGTCACCAGGCAGATTAACTATAACAGGCAAATGTGCTAACTGATCCCAAGGAAAGCAATTTTAGCAACAGCAAAGCCAGCTTGCTTCTGCTATAAGGGCGTTTTCTCATATGACCTCATCCATGCTGATACTGCATTTAGTCTCTTTCATTCCACAGAACAAAAATCTCACTTCTGATTTGTTTCAAGCTAGATGTCTTCCTCCCCTGAGAAGGTTTAAATACACATTATGAGCTCGGTCGAGTAATCACTCAAAGCAAAATTCTGACTCAAGCCCACAAGAGCTTTGTCTGCATAAGGACCACAGGCCTGGCCTCTTGTGAATACTTTCACTTAATACTGAAAGGCTTCATTGTTTACTGTATTACCAGAACATGTATATGTGCTTATAAATGGGAGGCATTTATCATTCTCAAGCAGTGATGAGGAGGCCGTGGTTCACGAAGCGAGCAGAGAGATGAGACTCAAGAAATCTGGGTTCTGTTTCTCACTGGGTGACAGATTTATGCAGCCAAGCAACTGCATCTTCTTCTTTTTTAGTACTCTATTTGTAAACTGTAGATGAAGCTTGATTATGCTGCAGAGTGCTTTTAGATTAATGAATTAAATTCCCTGATTGATCATTAAACAAAGAGATTTCTTAGCAAATATAATCATCAGTACAATGAAATATGAATGAGACCATTCAATGGGATGCCGGGGATACAGGAAATTTCTCATTTTAGAGAAGCGAAAGTTGTATTTTAGTCCAGTTTTGCTAAAAGACCGTTTTCTGCAATAAACATTGTGCAGGAGCCCTTAAACAGAAGGCCAATGTTACTGCAATTACTACACAGAGACAGAACAGACGAACCTTTTGGCACGTAGGATGCCAACTCCTCTTCAAGCAGCCGTGCACATCCAGTTATGGGAGATCACAGAGGATTTTTGCCCATGCCATGGGTTGCACTGCCTGCTGCCACAGCCCCAGCTCCTCTCCCCCAAGGCACAGCTGCAGGGCACCTGGGCCGAGGGGAGCACACTGCAGGACAGCACATCCAACAAGACCTCCTGCTGCTGAGAAGCAACTTCGCTAGCTTGCACCTGTGAACCATGAAGCAGGCAGCCTGAAATCGGGTCTGAGAAACAGGCGAAGGACTGTTTTGTGGCAGGAAGAGCCTGCTCTCTGAACACAGATAGATGTTTCACTACAGTAACCTTTGTCACACACCTTGAACAGGAAGAGCATGGGGCAGAGGAGGTCAGAAAGTACTCAACAGCCTGATTCTTGGAGAGTTGTCTTCCTCTGGAAGACCTGCTGGGGCTGTGTTCACCAGAAATGCTGAAAGAAATGATCTTCCTGAGTGAAGAGGAGCAGCTGCACACTGCCAAGCTGTGAGCCTGACTTGAATCCAGGTGGTAAGAAGAGGTTGCATCATCAGCCAAGAAAAAACATGCAGTATGGGCTGGCTACATAACCACTGGACACCGAAGAATGAAAAGAAAGAGAATAAAAATAAAAGGAAAAAAATGACTGAACTAAAAACACAAGGAACGAAGGCGGGAGGCATATAAAAAGTAGGTAATGAGAGCAAGTCACAGAGGAGCCTACAGGAGAGCCCAGGGGAGCCACCCTGAGCTGAAGGCAGGAAGTCAGGTGAGGAGGAGGAGGAGGAAGAGCAGCAGCAGCACCTGGTGCAGCACAGGAGCACAGCACCTGCAACCAGTGGGGATCATCATCTTCAGCTGTGTGGCAACCCGCAATGTGCTATACAGATACTGGGAACATATTAGAAAGAGTGCTTTCACTTCTCCCCTTTTTTCAAAAAAGGGATGAAGACACATATAAACTGTACTTGCACTAGGAGGCTGACTGAAAGCATCACAGAGCCGGAGGAGATGATGCTGCACGGACATCCATCTCCTCAGCTCCACACTTCCACCAGAACACATCATCTGGGGGAAATACCTCGTGTTTCTGAATGCCGCTGCAACTTAAAAAGAGAACGTTTCAGCTCTCACAATACCTTATGCTTGTGAGCAAAGCTGAGAAGACATGAAGTGTAACATATGAACAAAAGCCATTCAGATGTAACAATTTATGTCATTAGTTAAATAATTATTTTTAAACAGCCCTCTATAATAAATCTCCTCAGGGGAAACCAGACCAAAACAGCTGTTGCAAAGAGCTAGTAACCGAATCACAGCTCAAATTAAGCCCGGCAAACAAACACTTTTTTGGCTGCAGCCGCTGAGGCTGCTGGAGGGTTTAAACAACACTAATACTTCATTTCCGCATCAAGCTTTGATTCTTTCCACTGCATGTGCCTTGGTAGCTAAGTCTTTGAAACATAGTTTTAAAACAGACCTCCCTGATCTAAAAGCATTAATTATTATTTATGTCACAGCTCGCCTCTGTACGTTAATTCTAATACATTCATGTAAACCTGAAATCCTGCCTTCTTTTTGCATTAGCACTATGCGTATCTAAATGAAAAGCTTAACGCTTGTTAGTTGCTTTTTAAAATACCTCACATTAGGTAAAATTCCCCTCTGGCAAGCTTTGCTGCCTGGCATTACCCACAGGGCAGTATTTGGCATAGGGTGGTAGTGGCGGGTGATCCCAAACCAACCCACCCCTTGGCCACTTGGTGCCGAGCTGGTGCAAACCCCCAGCCCCAGCATGGGGCACCCAGCCCGGCCCCAGCAGCTCCTGTTTGGGTTCAGAGGGAGCACCCCATGCTGGGACAAGCAGCCGCTCCAGGCTGCACCCCCACCGTTTCCATATGTTTTCAAATAAATCTCCCTGTCCTGCCTGTTATAAATGGCTCTCTCAAGACATGCAAAGCAAGTAAAGGCCAGATTTCAGTTCTTCTCTTTCTGGGACGTATCCGTGTATGTATATATACCTGTACAGGGATATATATATATATGGCTGTGACAGAGAGAAAATATACGTCAAGACGAACACTGGGAAAAGGGACAGTTTTTCTGTTAAGGCACTGAAAGGACTTACTTGAACCAGAAGACCAGACCCAAAGCCCTTCAGCACGCTGGAAGTTCAGTTCTATGAACATAATAATTCATGCAAATTTCTAAATTATAGGGCGGAAGCATGACAGTTGCAAACTGTTTCAATATATGGCTAATTGAAGCATTTCTCATGCACACAGCTCTAGCTATAGTGAAACTATGATCAGGAGGACTCTGCAAAACATAAAACCATGAGCACTGAAAACAAAGCCCTCAGGTTATCATAACTCTTCTGCAACAAGATACATACAAGCAACTGGCGATATCTGTCGTAACTGATAAATATTTTTTTAAAAAAGCCTGGGTGTACAAATGTTCCATTAAATTTCTTAAAATTACTCAGCATGCAGAAAGCCGGCAAAACTGGGCCCTGAGTGACTAGAGCTGTAAAAATAATGGAGTATGCAGTTATCTACATCATAACCTAAGTTTTAGCTGGACCAATTTACATCCACAAACATACGGCTATTGCAAATACATATAGCTGTGCTGGTGAAACTCAGTTGCTGATTTATTAGTAAGAAGCTATTTTTAGATGGAATATTTGCTACAGAACCTCTTTAATTTTTATTATTATTTTTTTTTAATCAAGTTGATCACCTGAAATTTTGATTCCATCTATTAGTAAAATCACACAGCTAATTGCTTTTGCTTTCTAACTGGATAATTTACACACTCAAATTAGCATCACACAATTATACAGTTCATTGAAACGTTTATGAGTACATGTTCACATTAGTTATAGAGGCTAGCCAACTGGAATCTAAAAGAACACCACCTGACTAATATTAGCACTAACTGTTCAGTATTTTCAATTGCAATTTAATACAAAGTGGTTTTGAATAACTGGCAGAGCTGAAGATCTTCACTGGGCAAATTGGCTAAACAATTGATTCGTTCCTAATTTTGCAAACTTCATAATCTGATTTGTAAGGTATTTCAAAACACAAAAGGAAATGTATTCAATGATTTATTGTAGTGCTTCCCCTAACTGATGCATTGCCATTTAAGGGGAACAGGATTTTATCAAAAAGCCACATACATTCTCATCTGTACAAGAACTACTTGTTGTTCAAAATGCTTGGCTCACTCCCATCATCAGATCAATAGGGAATTTTGCAACTGATCTCAAAGACGGCAAGAGCAACCCCTTGCTCAGAGGCTTTGTATGTGAAGCATAAAGACAAAAAATACACTCCACCAGGCAGCCATTGCCCAGCTCCCCACCCTCAGAGAAGGTGAAAGCAAGCTTTGCTGATGAGGAAAGCATTCCTCCTCGCCTGGGCCACTGCCGTTTCAGCTGACAGACTTCAGCATGCCATCATCTGTCTCCGTCACAGGTTCCACCGAGTCCTGCTGAGAGCCAGCGAGGAGCATTAATCCTCAGCCAAGCAGCCTGCCAACTGTTTGCTCTGGGAAAGCTGTCTTCCCCTTGCCCGCCCGCTCCCTCTTACCAAAACAGGAACGCAGTAGACAAGGATAAAAAAGTAGTCTGTGCAAAGGTCTGCAGGTCCATCACAGCATGAGAAGGTGAAATAAAAAGTTACGTCAACAACAACAAAGAACAAATGAATGCTTTGATGTTATGAATAGCTGCTGAAGCAGAAGGTGAGGCATGCTGCTTGCACCCCAACTCCTTCCTCCTGCCTTCCCCACATGCCTCCACTCCTCAGGGAAAAGCATCCAGACCGACTCTGGCCATTTTTAATGTTTTTTCTCTTCAGCTGAGCTCCTCTACGATGAACAAACCTTTAATTCTTTGGAAACTGCTTACTAGAAATTATGAAAGTTGTGCAAGCATGATCTTGATGATTTTCCAGTGGGACTCATATTCTCCTCATAAACCTTTAAGAAGTAATAATACACAAAATCTTAACCATCATAGCTCTTCAGAGGTTATCAAAGTGATGTCAAGGAGCCTCCTGTTGGGCCCTTGTGGGAACGATACCCCATTACAATCAAAAGTCTCCAATATATAGCAGTCAAGATCCTTCGACTCCAAATTTCTTCATAATTACAATAGGAAGAAATGCATAGTGTTTTCTTCTTCACCAACTAGAAACTTCCTCAGATTACAAAGGACATGACTGCCATCCAAGAGTAATTGTTTCTAAATTGGTTATAGAAGCAGTACGCAACTTTGTATTTATTGTTTATTTTGTTTTAAAACCAATCCTTCTTGGATACAGCCAGATTTCCAACTCAAAGAAACAGTCCGCTGAAAGTCAACAAAACACATCATCAAGCACTACAAGTTTCAATGCTCCAAAACAGATTTACAGTCCACAATAAAAGACCAAAAGCCAAAAACTGTATCAAAAACACATCATCTTTGAGACTGGAATTGCTCTTGATTAAGTCCTAGATCACAACAGCAGCAAAGATTTATGTTTTTCAGAGTTCCAGATGATCCAAAAAAAATATCAGACATCCTACAGTACAATACAACTGTACTGAATACAAAAATGTTCAGATGTTTGGGAATCAGATAGACTTGGGCAAAACAACACAGGAAACCATCCCCGTCCTACCCTTATATATCAATTCTGGCAAAAAGTTGATGTAGAGAGCTGGAGAAGAACATAGCATCTAAGGTGTCTAAAAGAAGTCAAAACCTGGAGGAACATGGGCTACATCTGATTGCTGCAGTTGATCCAGTGCTTCAGAGGAAACTGAAAGACACAACAACTCAAAAACAAAAATCCTAAAGCATGACACACACACACACACACCAAAAAAACAGGCTGTAGATAAGCAGTAACTTATGAGAAATGATCTGAATCAATATCCTCCTCTATCTGTGCGAGACATTTATAATTAGGAACTTTTTTTCACTCCAGTTGAAACTGCTTACACCACCATATATGTAGTCATAGATGCATATGCTTATTTTATGCTAACATATTAGAATATTTGCTGCCCTTAAGAGAGACAAGAAAACACCTGTACTTTAGATGATTATTTCAATCTGGTGGATGTGCAATCTGTGGATGCACATCTGTGGATCTGATGCTAACATGCAAGTGTGTGGTAACAGCTTGACTGCTATTATTGCAAGACAGACAAGGAAGGTTCCCAACAGATGGATAACTGAGAGGCTATAAGATAATCCCTAATTATAAAAGAATTTGAGATAGATGGCAGACCTGAATTTTAAGGCAGTAATTTAAACACACTGGCCCTAAAAAGCAATTATTGAACACAAAAACAATGAACTCAGTTCGAAAGAAGCCCTTAATCCATCTTTAAACTAACGTTCTACTGAAAGGATTTCTGCATGAACACCTACTTTTACCACAGCATTTGGGTTGTGGGGTTTTTTGTTTTTTATTTGCCTGCGTGCGTGTTTTTCAATTAAAAATACATTTAAATTCTAGGGGAACAACAAGGTCTACTCTAAGCCAAAGAAGAGGCTGAGAATTAAAAGGTTAGGTTGTTACCACATTACAGATACACATCTGAGACTGAAATCCCATTGAACAAAAATTAATGCGATTCATACTACAACCCCATTTCAGATTCACTGCAGATTAGAATGGACCAGCATCACTGGCTATGGTGTGGGGGCAAATCTAAAAGGGAAATTATATATACATGTACATACGTGTACATATAGATAATACATACAATATAATCCATGTAATTATACATAT